GTGCAAAACCCCTTATGGGAAACTTATGACCCAACGGGGTCAACGCGGGAATCCTAAGGAGAAGAAAGCTTTAAAAAACAACATCACTAAAAACAAAAAATTAATTAAAAAAAATACTCATGACAGAACTATTCAGTCCACTGAGAATGAGAAGAGCTGAGGTGGGGGCCGTTCAGTCTTCTGCTGTCAGTTTGTGGGGTGGTCTTCTTTTTGCAGGGCCCACTTTGTTGGCCAGGAGTGTCCGGTGTTGGCAGACGTATCTTGAGGACGTCTTCCGTTGCTAGACCTCATCCATCGTCTGCATTTTTTCCCCTCTTTTTTTCCTGCCGATCATGTTGAGAGAGCTGGTGGAGAAGCTAAATAAAGTCCGTAGTTGAGCATGTAAACAAAACGTCCTTGTGGGCTCCCCCGTTTTCTCGATTCGGGTGGAGGTCTTCTCTTCTAAGAGACCTCCTCTTCCCAAATTTTTAAATTTGCACCCGGGATCGTTCTTCTCTGCCAGCAACTTCTCAATGGCCTGGTCGGAGTTGGAGAAGACCTCCAGAAGACCAGAGGTGGGCAGAAGCAGGGAGAGGTTCTCCGGGCTGCGTCTACGGTTTCCGTTTTTTGTTTTCTTCCAGGGAGCAATCAGACATACTTATATTTCGAAAACAATGTTGTGCGTTGGCTTGAACTAAAGATGGATGGTTTTGCCCCCTTTTTTTTAAGTCTCTTGAGGAACCACTTCCATCAGCTTCTGGAACAGGATCGTGGTGGAGTCTGTTGGGTGAGGAAAGGAAAGGATAACACGAGCAGAATGAGCTTTGGAGGTCATTGCCCTGCCTACATTGGTCATCCAGGACACAAAGAGAGGCGTTTACTCCACTAGAAGAATCTGGTGGGAGCCTGAGGTTGGTTTCAGCACAGAGGACAGGCCGAAGTCCAGCCTCAATCTGCCCCAGCTTCAGTTCCCACAGTTCCCATCAAGATGCCCACAGCACCTGGAGGATGGGTTGGGCATCGGCTCCTGCTGAGTCCAAGCATGCCCGGCTGCTCCTTTCAAGAGGCACCGGGGTGTGGACACCCACACGGCTTAGTGAGGAGAGGAAAGGGCTGGGGCCCCTCCCAATCATGCCCCATCCTGCCTTTCTTCCAGGCATCTACAAGGCGGGACAGCACTGCCCAGGTGTGATTGCTGAAGATCCAGGTAGCAACAGCAATCGCCCTTAGACTTATATACCGCTTTGCAGCCCTCCCAAGCGGTTTACAGAGTCAGCATATTGCCCCCCACAAGTGGCGCAGTGGTTAAATGCAGCACTGCAGGCTACTTCTGCTGACTGCCGGCTGCCTGCAGTTTGTCAGTTCGAATCTCACTAGGCTCAAGGTTGACTCAGCCTTCCGTCCTTCCGAGGGGGGTAAAATGAGGACCCAGATTGTTTGGGGGGCAAGAG